CCTATTTTATGTACGAGTATCCAACCAGGAGTCCTGACTTTTAAGCTTGTTGTTGTTTAAGTTCGCTGGTTGTGACTTTTTTTCTTTGTGGTTGCATAAAGTAGCAAGTTATTATATCAAACCAAGACATTGGAAGATCTTGCAGGCTGAATACAAGAAATTATGTCTAGCATATCACAAGTGATACAGGAGAAACGGGTTGACCCTCTTCCTGGGCGGCTTGATACCATGGCAGCGAAATCTGGTGGCCATATCAAATTTTAAATTAAAACTCATGCTAAACGCTTTCCTCTCATGAATTCTTGTAAAAAGTATAGTTAATAAATAAATTATATTATTCGGACTATTGTCCTCAAATTTTTTGCTATATTTATCACAAAGTTTCGGTCGTTGTACGCTCCGGCGTTCTTCAGATGGTTGGCATGTCAAACTGAACCTTTTAGTTCGCTTGCTGGGATAGACTGTTGAATTTCTACGTGTCATGTCTAATGGATATCAGTTATCAGTTATCTCCTCTTAATCCACCTCTCCAAGTTCTCCTTAAGGACACATGGCACAGTGCATATAGGCGTTGGTTAGATTCAGTGACAGGAACCAAAGAGTTGTGAGTTCAATACCTGGTAAAGGCAGGCGGGGACTTGGAGAGGGGGATTAATAGGAGATAACTGATAACTGACATCCATTAGACATAGCCCGTGGAAATCGAACAGTCTACCCCAGCAAGCGAAATAAAGGGTTCAGTTTGACATTCCAACCCTTTAAGAGCTTTTAAGATATACTATATATATATATATATATATATATATATATATATATATATATATAGAGAGAGAGAGAGAGAGAGAGAGAGAGAGAATAGCTGACGATGCGTATTCAAGGATACCCATCTACTAGAACGCCTAGCATCTTCTGAACAGAGCAGTTTAGATAGATAGTGAGAGAGAGAGATGTGTAGAAGTGGACATCGATAGATAGATACATACATACCTTCAGAGATACATAGAGAGAGATAGATAGATAGATAGATAGATAGATAGATATGAAGAGGCGGACATAGATAGATAGAAAGAGACCCTGAGAAATAGAAAAGGATTCTGCAATTTTGATAAATACGAGGAGGATGATATATATATATATATATATATATATATATAGAGAGAGAGAGAGAGAGAGAGAGAGAGAATAGCTGACGATGCGTATTCAAGGACACCATTCAGAACAGCTAGTCAATCCCTATTGCATACTCTCGCTCAGCCACATTTGTGTTTCTTCAAAACTCACAGAGCCAACCTGTAGTTTATTCTGCAACTGGGGGAGAGTGTGTTATCTAGAATGTTCAACAATCTGAACAACACCAGCACACTCAAAACCTCGGTCCCGATGACTTATGAGTTCGTGTTAGTACAGCACTCGACGGTCCCCAAGTGTTCTGTCTACCCGATTTCACTCACAAGGCTTGGGTCAAAACGTGCTATAATTTTCAGGCACTTTCCAAATATGCCGCACACTGGAATCGTATCTACTCCAGACCGATAATAACAGGAAGTCTTCTTCCAGACAAATTGATCCTGGTGAGATTTGAATATATATATATATATATATATATATATATATATATATATATATATATATATATTATTGTGTATTTGAACATCAATCCCTCTTTTATACAATTTTCATTAAAGTCGACTGACAAATTACTGTAACAAATTACTTGAAAAAACTGCCCAAATGTTCTGCAGCCTGTTTGAAGTTATCATGCAAATCAAATAAACCTCAGTAAGTCAAAAAATTATGAAGTAATATTTGTCAAATTTAATCTCGTCTCTTTCCAACCTTAATAGAATATTTAATTAAATTTTCTGACTTTTTAATGTTTAGTTTTTGAGATATTTGAAATTTACGAAAATGGACTGAGTGAAGTTGTAATGCAAATTAAACTAATAATAGCTTAAGATCTCTGAAATCTAATAAAAACTATTTTTTTCTTTTTGTCCATAAAATACGTTTAAACATGGTTAAGCAAGTGCTGAAAAACAGAAAATAAAGTTATTCTGACAGCGAATGTCCACATTGGGAATACCAAAGGAGATCTGCAGAGATCATAGAACGATATAGAAAGCTGTTGAACATAACTCCTGTAATTTTCCCTCTGAAAGTTCTCCACTGCCTTAACCAGGTATTGAACTGGATCTAACCAACGTCTTTATCCACTGTGCCATGTGTCCTTGAGGACATCGGGGTATGAACTTCTGAGTATTATAAACCTAATGTTTTCAGCATCATTTTTTACCAGTGCTCATATTGCAATTTTGCTGTTATCATTACATGTCTTTACCAGAGTTCATATTGCAACTTTGTTATCAGAGGGAAAATTAGCAGGAGATAACTGATAACTGACATCCATCAAACATGGCATGTGGAACTAGAAGAGTCTACCCCAGTGATCGAAATAAAGGGTTCAGTTCGAAATTCCAACCACCTGAAGAAGGCCGGAGCATACAACGGCAGAAACGTTGTGACAAATATGGCGACAAAGATGAGGACAATAGTCCGACTAATGTAAATACTGTACATAATACCTCATCTCTGAAATATAGACAGACTCTGAATGTGTTTGTTATTTGTTCTGTTATAGGTGTTAATCAATTTTTGATGATTGTATTACCTTTTTATTGAAGTAAAAAGTGATTATTTAGTTTTGCCTAATGTTATACGGGAACGTATCTATTTTTATTGTAAATAGACTCTCCCACAGATAATAAGTAGTAGTAGTAGCAGTCGCCAGTTGAGCTGAGTGAGTTGTGTGAGTCAGTCGATGTCGGACATTAAAGTATGAGCCCCACAACTAGATTGCTGCGTCATTAACTATTATTTCAAGTTCCTAACGTTTTGTACATCGAACCTAATTTAGGACCGACTTAGTGAAATACAAGCTTCCACTGTGAAAATTACTCTACAACATCTAATAACTTCAGAAAGCAGTTATATAGAATACATCAAATAACTTCAATAATTTGAATAAAACATATTGATACTACATAAAATTTTAACTCAGGGTTTGTCTTGACATCTAAATTGATTGTTTAATATTTGACTTTTTCCCGAACCAAGGTTGAATTATTGATGTTTACATGATTTGCTTAATAACTTCATGTAATGTGTATATATGTGAGCGCTTTCGGCTATTCTCCTTGCCATTTTCAATGTGGTTTGGGATTTAATTTTTAACTGAATGTGTAGATTTTTCTATAAAAAAATGTCCAGTGTACTATAGATGTGAGCACTTTAGGCTATTATATTCGCCATTTTCAAAGAGTTTCTTTTTTATTTAATTTTTAACTGAATGTGTAGATTTTTCTATATGTACCTGAAGATATAGCATTATTTTGTTTATTTTTTTGTTTTTTTTATTATTGTTATTGTTATTATTTTTCCAAACACGGTCAGCACATTGTGTCCGTGTTCATAATTGATGTCACTGAGTGTAGGCTTTTCTTTCTTAATATATATATACTTGCGCCTGTTTGTGTGTGTGCGTTTCTATGTGTGGGTGTGTGTGTGTGTGTGTATGTATTTGTGTCTGTATATAAATCACTAGAGTTATAACGTGATAATTTATGATTTATGTTTAATTTATGTCTACGCAATAAAACATTTCAGATAGTTGTATGATAATGCTTGTGTGATGTTGAGACCTACGTGTGGAAGTCGAGTAATCAATAACACGGTAGTTTCAAGGCATAATTCGAATTTTGACCAATGCGCTTCCTTTCATTGAAACGATGTCGTCTAACAGGGACCATAACGTCAAGTCAGGAGAAAAGAAAGAACATTTGTTAAAATAAGAAAGTATTCTAAAAAGTAATTTGAAATCCATGGGTAAAAAAAAAAAAAAATATGGAATACCTGGATCTCTTCAACGATCTAAAGCAGTAATTCAATATAAAGCCGACTCTTGTCTTCATAACATAAAACACCTCAAGAAGGGGAGGAGTGACATTACTGAAAGACCAAGTGAACTCAAGATCTAATATTTCCATTGTTTTGTTATACAGACGCTTGACTCTTCATTTTGTTAAACCTGTCTATGGAGTCTTGCGTACGTTCTCTACATACCTTCCGTATGTGTAATAAACCCTAAAAGAACTCAGGTAAAAGACGATAAACTCAAGTATAAACCGATATAAAAGATTACATATAAACATACCTATTTTGCGTCATCGCTTAACTTCAAATGTAAAAAAAAATTCTCAAAGCCTACGTATATAGCAAATATTTAAAAACGTACCTACATTAAGTGAGCACATCTCTGTGTCGTCTCCCTCCAGGACGTAGACGATGATGACTGTCAAAATGTCTTTGTAGATCTTTGTTACTGGTTCATAAACTGACTTTACGGTGCAGTAAAAGATACCAAGGGGAGGTAACAAATAACATTGACATATACGGCGCCTGTAGTTGCCGTATTAAAGAACAAAAAAAAAAGCCAACTTGACTATTGAAAAATATGTATTTTAAGACATTTTTTTTTAATGTCTATAAGTTCTTTTTATAGATACAAATATTTAAGCAAATGCTCTGTTTATAATAAACAGTATTAAACAACATTTACCGGCCTGAATGTCCGAGAAATTTTCATAGAAGATATGCGTCCTCCGAGAGGAATCGAACCTGTATTCTATACGGAACCGTCATATAGCCTGACGTGCTTTTACCGATTTAGCCACAGAGGAGCGTTTTGGTTAGCAATAAATTTTTGAAGAAAAAAAAAACTATTACCAGCTATACATTTTTGGAAAAAAATATTACCAGCAATAAATTTTTGAAGAAAAAAATTATTAGCAGAAATAGATTTTTGACAAAACAAAATATTATCAATAAAAACTCTGTCGGCATTAAATAACCCATTGAGGTTGATATGCCGTAAAACACAACAAACCAAACCAAACCAGATGAGAACGAATGGAGTACAATTCCGACGTTCGTAACATTTAATTTAATAGCGGGCTCAGTACAATGTAGGGCAATATTCTTTATTTTAGTATATTACATCAAAAACATGTCAAAAAAACGCTACACAGTTGCAGTCGTGTGCTGTCGCCTAATGAGATGCAGTGATTCACATCGAAACATGAATACAACTGTGTAGCGTTTTTTTTTTTTTTTTTTACATGTTTTTGGTGTAATATCTTAAAATAAAGTATATATATTTACAGGCAATTACTATCTATACGACACATTATCTCGTCTACCATTCGTTCATCTTTTGAATATTGTTGTCACATCTCGTCTGGAATTTCTACTATATATTTAGATATTCTAGATAAAATCCAAAGAAAAATATGCAATATTATTTGACCTAACCTGGCATCTCGGCTTCATTTACTTCCCCAGCGCCGTAAATGTAAGTCGTGTGTGATTTTTCCATGAATAGTTTTACTTTACGTTTTTAAGCGCAGTACTAGATTGGTAATTAGGTCTCGTGATTTTACAGTTGAAATGGTTAGATATAACCGTACGTTCTATGCTAACAGTTTCTTCTGTCGCACTTCTTGCAGGTGGACCTCTCTTCCGACATCTTGCTCTTTAGATCATTAAAACTTTAAGTGCAATGACAATTGTTATCTTTTGTCTTCTTAATTACTGTTCACTTATACTTCTCTCTTTTTAATATATACTAGCAGTAGAGCCCGGAATTGCCCGGGGATGTAACAGTAAGAGATAGATCAAGTATCGACCATCATAAAGACTGAAAAATAAAATTGACAAAGATTATTGTTTAAGGGTGACGGACACGCATGTCTTAATTATTATTTTTTTTAAATTTTTTTTTGTTTTTTTACGAATTGGTCAAACCCAAACTCAAACAAAAACATTGTTTTCAATCGTTATGAGTCTCTACCAATTGAATAGAATTTTATTATAAACAATTGTCTTGTAAATGGAATTTTTAAAGATTTGTGAATGTAAAAATAAAAAAAAAAGTATGCAAGACAATAAGAAACACTACCTACCCCCCAAAAAGTGAAGTTTTGTTGAAATCGGTTGAAAAATGTAGGAAATCCGATCGCATGTATAAACGACCACACACACGCACACACACACACACACACACACACACACAACCTGGGTTTTATAATAAGTATAACTCGATATGAGTTGTCCCCCTTTCATTCACGCGACATTAATCGTGTTTTCAAATTGATTTCGTGCAAAAACAATTATATTTTTCCCATTTTTGGCGCCGTCAGAACCACCGAAAGCTAATTTTACATAGTCCTGTGAAGTTTTGTTGAAATCGTTTGAAAAATGTAGGAAATCCGATCCAATATATAACCGAAGAGACACACACAACCTGGGTTTTATAATAAGTATGATTTTTTTTATTTTTCTGATATTCTTTCTCGATATGTAAATACTTGTATCTTAATTGATTTTATGTCATTGCTTGTAGTGAAATGGTTAATTAAAATAAACTTCATCAAATTCAACGAAACGTTTAAATTATGAGCAATGTCCAGCAAGTATGTAACATTACTCAGAGCTCCCTCCTCAATGTGGAACTCAGGCAAGAAATAAATCTTTCAGGCCAAGTAAAGTTTATTAAATTTTCGTGCGCCTAACAAGGAATCAGTTGCTTACAATCTGAACAGGATTAGATTCTCACTTGGCAAAACAGACGTTAGCTATAACAGACCAGCTCTTCTTGTAGGCCCTAATTCGCCAGTAAAGGGTCAGTGCTAATACTTGATGTCTAAATCGTTTCAAATTGATGTGTCGAGATACCTGATCTTAGGGTTTCCAAACGAATACGAGTCTCGGAAAGGTTCCAATGGAAGATACTAGAAAAATTTCCAAGCACATGTAACTCGAATCAGATAACTAAGATATTAAGATGATTCGACAAGACCCATAAGAAAAAAGACAGAGTGACATATTGGAATAAAAGAGCTGAGAATTCTTTCATAATTATTTTCCTGACCAAAAATGTAAGAAGAGGACATTGAAATAGACTAAAACTTTGGAATTAATGTGTAGGTTTGTGATTTCACTTAAAAATTAATTTGTATTAGAAGCAAAAATGTCGGAATAGTTGTTTGAAATAAACCGTGAGTCTCGAATAAAAATGCCGGTTATAAAATGCCTTCAAAGTTAATTTGTTTTCAGACCAAAAAAGGTTGTGAAATGAGTTTGTAAGTAAACGGGGAATTTGAAATAAATAGGTAGGTTGGAATAGTCTGTCAAAATTAATTTGTTTTCGAAAAAAAAAAAAATCTAGGGAAAAAGATTTGGAATAAACGAGGAAGATGAAATAAAAATGTTTGTTGTAAAATTAAGTTAATATTTTTCAGCACAAATGAAAGATTGATCTTTGATTTTGGAGTGAAGGTGAAATAGATAGATTGGAGAATTTATTAAAAATTAATTTGTTTTTTAACTAAAAAATGTAGAGAGGATTGTTTTGAATAAAAGGTGAGTTTGGTATAAAAAAAATATACATTGAAATATTCCTTCAAACTTAAATAATGTAGTGAGATGAATTTTAGAGTAAATGGGAAGTTTCGAATAAGTAGGTAAGTTGGAAAATTCATTCAAAATTATTTTTGTTTACAAGATAAAAAGAAAAAAGGCGGGAAGCGAAATTGAAGTAAGTGACTAGAAAAAAATTGAAAATAAAATAAAATGTATAGAGTCTAAGTTGTAAAAAATAGAAAAATATAAATAGCCGGACACGTCGACCTATTCCAGACACAGGAGCACGCCATATACGCTTGAGCGCCCCATAAAAAAAACCTTGTGTCATATACCTTTGTTGTAAAAGGACGTTTAACTACTTACATCCCAATGCAATTGCAAAAAAAAAAAATACCAGATGCGACCCTTATGGGCAACCATGGATAAGATCCTATGAAACACTTGATGCTTGAGATTTTTATTTAAAAGCCAAAAAATTAGAGAAAAAGAAAAGAAAAAAGAAGGAAAAGGAAAAAAAAAAAAAAGGAAGACCTCATCACGCTGAAAGTGCTGCTCCACTTATTCCGAGATCAGGCGCCAACGAGATCTAATCAAACTTGGTCTCATGATCAAGCAGAGTGAGTTAGAAAACCTTTGCGACGATAATTGTCTTCTTCAAGTGTACTTCTCATGACTTTGAAGTTCGTCACACCATTTAGTAGTGCTAGCGGGCGTTTCGATCAGTTCTATCAATGTGCGATGCTGATATTATGGAAGGATCTTTGGTAATGGTTTTGATCCTGTAAAATGATGTACGGTGGGGGCTGTAGCGATCTTTATCATATACCTATAACTTCCAAGAAGCGAAAGATTACTTTTCCTATCTATCTATCTATCTATCTATCTATCTATCTATCTATCTATCTATTACAGCCTCCTCATATCTATCTATCTATCTATCTATCTAGCTATCAATCTATTACAGCCTCCTCATATCTATCTATCTATCTATCTATCTATCTATCTATCTATCTATCTATCTATCTATCTATCTATTACAGTCTCCTCTTATCTATCTATCTATCTATCCATCTATCTATTGCAGCCTCCTCATATCTATCTATCTATCTATCTATCTATCTATCTATCTATCTATCTATTACAGCCTCCTCATATATATCTAGCTATCTATATATCTATCTATCTATTACAGCCTCCTCATATCTATCTATATATCTATCTATCTATTACAGCCTCCTCATATCTATCTATCTATCTCTCTATCTATCTCAGCATATGGATCTCTTTATATCTATTTCAGTATGTTTATTTGTATTTCAGTGCATTCCTATCTATCTACCATTGCGATTCATCTATTTTATCTATCTATATATCTATCTATGATTGCTACATGTATGTACAGTTCATATCTATAACAATCTTTCTTTTTGGTAATCTATCTATCTCAGCATATACACGGACTCATGCATTTTATATCTATTTCAGTATGTTTATTTCTTATTTCAGTGCACTTTCTCTCATATCTATATGTCTGAATTAGTTAACACAACTTTTAAAACGATACTCACGTCTGATGTTTTCTTTTTCACTGATTATTCAGAAGTTGTTTCAAGTAGGTTAATAACCGCTGATTGCAGGAGGGGAATATGTATGTACAGTTTAATCAATTCAAATATTCAGTCAGAAACAAGCGTATTTCAAAAAATTTGGTAATAATGAATCGTTCTTCTTGACATCTCGACACACATACTTTCAAACCGTCATGCATTATCTGTCTTTTCTATAAATAATTTCACGGCAATTCTGGTGAACTTTCCTTCCTATGAATTTCAAACTATTACTATTTTACTTCTTTAATAAACATAATATCAGCCACATCCATGAGGATATTAAGAGAAGCAAACCCTTAAGTAGCTCCCAATTTCTGTTTTTCTATCTTTGGAAGCGTGTGCTAGAAACTTTTTACACCAATGCAAAAAAAGCTGTGAACGCACCACAAACAAACACACCAACACAGGCAAATAACACTCAAATATATTAATTAATAATTATCGTTGTGTATTCTATTTATTTCTAGGAAAAGAAATACTTAAATTTTCTTTTGTTATTTTTGTTAAATAAATGTTATTTTGTATTGCAGATCAATCGGTCTCTGTTATTTTGTGCGTGAAAATTTTCATCATCATTATTTCATAGAAAATATTCTCGTAGAAACATTATTAATTAGAGAAGTAGCCATCACACTAATTTTTTATTCCTTTACTTCTTATCTTTTCTTTCTTTCTTTTTTTCTTACTTTCTTTTTTTCTTTACTTCTTACCCTTTCTTTTTTCTTACTTTCTTTCTTTACTTCTTACCCTTTCTTTTTTCTTACTTTCTTTCTTTACTTCTTACCCTTTCTTTTTCTTTTCTTTCTTTACTTCTTACCCTTTCTTTTTTCTTACTTTCTTTCTTTACTTCTTACCCTTTCTTTTTTTCTTACTTTCTTTTTCTTACCTTTCTTTTTTTCTTTTTCTTCTTTTTTTCTTACCTTTTTTTTTTCTTACTTTTTTTACTTCTTACCCTTTCTTTTTCTTTTTCTTTTTTTCTTACCTTTCTTTTTTTCTTATTTTTCTCTTCTTATCCTTCATTTTTTACTTCTTTACTTTTTTTAAAAAAATTTTTGCTCTTTTTATTAACTTCTTTCTTTACTTATAACAGCAGTGATTTAATATTCATATTATCAGCAGTATCCATGATGTTATAAAAACAAGTGAACCCTTAAGTAACCCTCACTTCTTATTTTTCCACCTTTCGAAGTGTGTGCCATCAACTTTTCAACCAAGCACAAAGGGCTTTGAACGTTTCGCATATAAACACATCAACGCAGGCAAGTCGCACTCAAATACATTCTTTAACAATTTTCGTTGTGTATTCCATTCATTTACAAAATTTAAAAATTAAAATTTTCTTAAAATTTTCTTTTCTTATTTTTATTAAATAAATGTTATCTTGTATTGCAGTTCAGTCTGTCTCTGCTATTTTGTGCTTGTAACTAATCATCACCATTATTTCATATAAAATATTCTCGAAGAAACCTTATACATTAATTATAGAAGTAGCCAAGACACTAACCTAGATTAGAAAAGTATTTCTCACCTTTTTACTGTTAAAAGAACTGAATGTAACCGTAATTTCTAACCTAATACTTTATTGCGCTTACCGCCGGTGGAGTTTCTTTTCAAATTCTTACTTCTCTTCCGGCTACAATCCTGAAAAATTGCAAATCAGTCGCCATTTTTTGTCTTCCAGAATCCTGTTCTTTTATTGTTCATTCTCCTCATAACTGTCTTCACGTTTTCTTTCTCTCCCAGTAATCCACTTGCGTCTTAGTGGCATTATATTTTTACTTAATGGGGAAGGATTAAAAACACTTGTGTAGTGGACCAGCATGTCAAATCAAGTTAAACGCCTTGGCCATATCTAAGGCAATAGTCCGAAATTAACTATTCTTATCCTTGACTGACTCTTTTAGCAATAACAGTCGACAAATGACTTACAGAAGAGACAACCATATTTTGCCTGAAAAATAAACCTTGCGATGTGAGATGCTTAACCAATAATGCCTATAGTACGTTCCCAATTAGACGATGCACATTAATATGTCGATAATTCCATGAAGAAAACGGTTCTCCTCAGTTCTTAAAAATATGAACTCCAGAAGCGGATTTCCAAAAAGCTGGAAAACAAGGAACTTCAGGCAGCTATTATAGAGTTTAGAAAGAATAGCTGTAAAGGATTATATGCATATTACAGAGTAGAGACTTAATCCTTAGTAGAAACTCAGGCAAAGATTCATCAAATGCAAACAGAATTAGACGATAGTTTACGAGTAAATCCTTCTGCTTTATTAGCAGAAGATGAAAATTCAAATTCAGTGAAGAAAGTGGCGATTGATGACTTATTTAACAAACAATTATAGATACCTCCAATTTTTCGCTGAAAAAAAGAGCATGGCATGAAGAAAAAGGCACCAAACTTAATAAAAACAAGAGTTTATTATCAAAATGTTTATGTTATTACTAAGAAGAAAGACTAAAGCATTTTTTTTATTATTTTATTAAATCTATTAATCGTTTCTAGCACTTTCGAAATTTTGGTTAAATATCTTATTTGTTTTTGTTTTTTTTTGATTTAGCGGTCGACATAATATTTAAGATTAATGCATTACATATGCTACCCTCCCTAATTTAATTTCATAAAATGTCGAGAAATTAAATTTTCATCCAAAAATATATTTACGAGGACTTCTTGGAGAATATATTTTTTTTTCAAACTACTACTCATTACTCGAAAATCTGCACCGAATCTTAAAATAAAAAAAAATCAATAAAACTATGACATTAATTATAAAAGCTTTCAATTTCTTTTATAAATTATATTTATTAAGGATATTATTCTCTTAAAAAATACGATAAATAATTATTTTTTTAAGAATTGTTTTCATTTTATCATTATATTAATTTTCATAATTTACAATATATAAGTCTTTTATAATTGTGGATTACTTTCATCCGGTTAGGTGATATTGTTATTAAGTGAAAACTATATTTACTAATCAAAAATTAGAAATATGGTAAACCATACACGACATTACCAGAAAATAAGTGCGATGACTATAGTAAATTTAAATTCAATATTTCCCAAATTAGATTACGAAGAATATTTTCCAAGATTACTGAGTACTTAAAAATTATATAAAAGGGGGCTCACTCATCATTTTCTTAAATTATGTTTTAACAGATAAAGTCTCTGCAGAACAAAAATAAATATTTCAACACATTATCAGTACTTGTCATCAATTACGTTAGAATGGATGCTATCTGTTCAAAATTACAGCTAATGTATGATTAAAAATCCATTTCTCTGTTATTTTAAACTTTTTTTTTCTAATCAGATTAATTATATTTGAAATCAACTACTATTTCTCAAATAAAGTATCAGGGGATTTTTTATTTTGGAATTTTTTTTTAATACAGAGAATTACATAGCTATGAAAGACAAAGGGGCACTAATCAGCTATTTTAGCAAAAATGGTTCCAGTCAATATAATTTCTGTTTGAAATACAACAGATTATTTTGGTTACTGGAAATAGTAAATTTAAGCCTTTAAGAAAGCCTTTTTTCATTTATAAAAATTTATTTTAAACCAAGTTATCGAAAGTTAGTGGAAGGTCCTACACTATTACAGATCTGCGAGTAATCAGGACAAGCAGTAACGAGAACCAAATTTGTGGGAGTTGTGAACAGACATATCACATTCTGTGTTATATATATATATACAGAAAGATCCTTCTTGTAATTAGCCCTAAGAATAATATCACTTGATATAATATCAATTGATGATTAGTAGGGCTAATTCCAAGGAGGATGTTTCTCCTAACTTTCTCTCTCTCTCTCTCTCTCTCTCTCTCTCTCTCTCTCTCTCTCTCTCTCTCTCTCTCTCTATATATATATATATATAGAGAGAGAGAGAGAGAGAGAGAGAGAGAGAGAGATAGACAGACAAACAAACATATCTGGTCAGTTATTTCTGTTCGTGATAATTGTAAATGACTCCTCAATGAGGCAATGATTTTGTTTGATATATATATATATATTTATATATATATATATATATATATATATATATATATATATATATATATATTCAATAAATTGTGCTGGAAAGTTTTGCACTCAACAATAAATTCGGTTCCGCCTTTCTCGCACGTTGGGAAAACATGCTACCTATTTCAAAATAGCAACTTTCTGATGGCTAATAGATAATTGTTGTCGTATTATTATTTTTTTTTCTCGTTTATTAAAGCGAAATTTGTTTCCCGTCTCTTTTTTGCATCTTTGAAGTCATTTGTTTTTTCATTTACCGGAATAAAACGAAAAAATATTTTTACTTTCATGTACTGCTTGATAAGACGTTTAACAAAGAAATTTTTTTCGGTGAAGTGAGTATTTACCTGAAATGTTATGTCTGTAAATTCTGATGTTATTTGTTCAACACTTCAATTTTGATGCATTTTATTTCATTTATTTAAGGAGATTTTTGTTCGGAATTTTAAAAATATATTTCCAGTATATTGAACTTTCTCTGTGTTTTATTTTTCTTAATGTTTATTTCATTTAGCATTGTTATTTATTTTTCAATTCTTTCTTTTGTCGTTCGTTTATTCGCCATATTTACTCTTTTTACACTTTTCTTTACTCTTTGTTTCAGGTTTTTTTCTTAACGTCTTGCATTTGTTTGCTCTTTTCCTCATTTTTTTATTGTTTTTCTTTTCTTCTTTCTCTTTATCTTAGCCTCTCTTTCGATTCGTCGTCCACTTTTGTTATTTTTAATTTATTTTCATTACTCATTTTTTTTCAGCTTTCGTTCTTGCTTTTTCGAGTTACTTGTTTTTATACTTGCATTCTTTCAATCTTCGTTTCTTTTCATCCTTCTTGATTTTCTTTCATTCCTTTTTTGCTTTCATCTTTTTTTCTTTTTAATTTGAGATTTTTATTAGTTTAGACTTTATTTCGACAAGCATTTTTTTCAGTTTTTGTTTTTCACCATTTTCTTTTTACTATGTTGTTTTTTTTTTCTGTTGCTTTTCTGGTCTTCCTATTTGAATTTCTTTTCTTTTTCTTCACATCACTCTTTCAATACGTCTTTTCTTTTCTCTTATATTTCTTTTCTTTTTTTCTGATTCTCTATTATTCTTCCATTTTTCATTTTATTTTTTTTTCTTTCTTTCCATCTTTCTTTCGCCCTTTTTTCCTCGCTTTTATCTTTACATCATTCTTAGTTCCTGCTTTTCTTTCGTTTTTTTTTTTTGTTTTCATTCTTTTCATTGTTAATATATACAGTGTAACCTGGATATAAGAGACCCGGATATAAGAGAAACCCGGATATAAGAGATATTTTCTCTGGTCCCAAAGTAGAGCCTGTGTTAATGTATATATAATAGACCAAACCCGGATATAAGAGAAACCCGGATATAAGAGACTTCGTCTACGGTCCCGACAACTCTCTTATATCCGGGTTACACTGTAATATCCTTTCGTTTTCTTATCTTCTTTCATTCTTTCTATTATACTTTAATTCCCTGTTCGTTTTTCTTTTTTTCACTATACACCTTTTTTCCCTCCCTTGTTCCTTTCTTTTTTGTCGTATTTAATTTGTTTTGCTTTCTTTCTTTAACTCTCTAACGTTTTATACTTCCTTCATCATTTCGTATTTTATTTTCTTTTTGTCGGAGTTATCTCCTCCTAAATTTTGAAGCTACCACTTGGGGGAGCTATCAATTTATGATATATACTTGGCGAGTTTCTCGCCTCGTCCTCTTTTCCACTTCTCATATTGCAGTGGACATTTCAAAAATGTAATATCTCGTGCAGAATTTCGTTTTTTTTCCTGTTGAGGGGGGAATCACCATTAACACTACACACACACACACACACACACACTCACAAACACGTACGAAAATTCACTCACGCATTTCTTGAAACAATAATTAGTTAGACATACATATTGTTTTTTGTATCCGTTTGTTTTTAATACACATACACTTTTAATATATATATATATATATATATATATATATATATATATATATATATATATATATATATATATATATATATATATATATATATATAAACGGCACGGTGTAGTAATGGATAGAGACTAGAATTACGGATTCAGAGACCCGAGTTCGAATTCTAGTCGAATCTATTACATTCACTTAGGTGCTAATACCCTTGGGGAGGGAATGAATCATCTTCTTCTCCCTCCTATGGGTAAATAACAGGACATACTGGGTTCTATAGCCTTGAATGCAACTGGTCTAGGAGAAGGACAACTCTGAATTCAAAACCTGTGAAGGGTCTTTTGGTGACCTTGTGGCGCGTAGTGCACCAAGTCGCTGTATTCGTCCCTTCAAAAAGTGTGGATGGTCCTGCACAAGACCTTCACCACTATAATCAAATCTCATGTGCTAGCGTCGGGCTGTCAGTTTCCTAGGAACTGATCAGCTTGACTCTCGTACGAGAGTCATATATATATATATATATATATATCTGTCTTTTTTTGTTTTCTTATAGGTGGACTCATCCTGCGCCCGCCATATTTGTAGTGGGCCCTATTTCAGGAGATATACGTGTTCATCTCACAACGCATAAAAACATATGGTCCGCTATATTTTCTCCTTATTATTTCATTCCAATTTCTTTGTCTCTTTTTTATACCAACGGCTTCCCATACTTAATACTGCTCGAATTCACTCGCGTGGTCATATATCGTCATAAGCTGAGTGCGATTTTCGCTTCCAGCGTCTTATTCCCACGTGTTTATCGTTGCTTGGAAATCATCCATGTAAACAGAAACAGGCTATCATCACTGTCTTGCCCGTATATTCTCTAATATATTGTACAATAATTGTCATCTTTGATAATGGCTTATGTAAGTCGTAAGCTTAGATTGGATTAAAAAATATGTATCAATATTGGGATTTTCTTTCTTCGTTTAAATAGACAACACTTGTCTATATTATTTAATGAAATATGTATGAATATATATATATATATATATATATTTGCTGAAAATCACATTGAAGCGTGAAAATGCCTATCACCATGTACATTTGATTCCTACATACATATTATCTAGAGATTTACTAAGCGTAGCTTAGATGTGAAAGTGTCCAATACCTGTTGAGGATCGAAATCACTATTCAGTCATAATTGGTGTAGCGAGATAAACTTGTTAACCATTACACCACATGGAATTAGCCAGTATCGATAACTATTATTAATACTGTTATATAAAGTTTATTTTAAAGGAGCAATATGTTTCAACTTAAATTCCTTCTTTATCAATGCGTTTTTGAAATTAATCAAACAGATTGATTATACAGAGAGAAATTCGAATTTCGATAACATATGGTATGTGGCAAAAGATTCATTGAACCTCAACTCAATAAATTCTTATATTTTAACTCACCTTTGAAGAGTCTTGAGATATACCAGTAATGGTTGTTTGAAACCTTGTGTAGAACAGAGTTAAATTTCAATTTTTTTAATAAACAAAAAAAAACATATATCAAACAAAGTACAATATAAAAATAAAAAAAAACAAACTTTAGGTTGACTGCCGACAAGTATGGTGGCTGAAATCTCGAGACGAGAAGTCGTAGGCCATTAACTGTCTTAACTCCCACTTGGGAATTCATTAAAAGGTTGTTTTTTCCGAAACGAAAATCAATATTTAATGAGATATTACAGACAAAAATAAAAGGATGTTTTAAAAGACTATACTTTGATTCTTAAATATAATTTCTTCCATTTCAATAATGAAACATATTACTTTCCATCCAGTCTTTAAAAAAAAAAAACGTTTGATCAGATTGAATAAACCAAGAACAGCATTAAACATGAGATTTTTGACAAACTTTGTATAAGTTAAGAACACCGCCAAATATCCTGTCAAGCAAGGAAACGGAAGTTAGCTTCACTGGCGGGAAAAGTGTCATCATCTAATATATATATATATATATATATATATATATATATATATATATATATATATATATATATATATTGAACAATAAAAAAAATATATATATTAAAAAATTAAAATTTTCAGACAAACTGGGTTGTAGATTAATATTATTTCGTTTTTTTATTATTTCATTTAGATTCCTCGAATAGTTTTGACCAAAATGGCCATCGTCGGGAGAAGAAATATTTCTGCTTGCTGGTAGCAGTAAACTACAGAAATGAATGTCTTGATGGAGAAAATGAACTTTTGTCTGTCGTTTTCATTTGTTTTGTTTTTATCTTTTTAATATGAATCTTTTAACATTCCTTGTGTTGATCAAACAGTCTCTTTGAAGAAGTTATTTGAGATAAGAGCTGGATGGATCTATGCTTCTCTGAATTCCTTTGGTCAGTTTGACAGTTTTATTGGTCTTGGAGCGGGGATGAGTCTCTGTTTAGTCTTTGTGTGTGTGTTATTTGGTTCTTAGGAAGTGAGTGAGTATGATATGTGTAAGCGTGTGTATTGCTGTGGGTGGGTGTTATCATTTGGCTCATTAGGGAGTAAGTGAGTATGATGTGTGTAAGTGTGTGTATTCGTGTGGGTGAGTGTATAAGTTTGAGGCCTCAACACCTCCGTAAGCATGTCTGTCTTGTGTGGGTGAGAAATGTGGGTAGGTTCTGATTTGTTGAGTTATATATTAGTACTATCTATATTGTTAAATTTATGGTTTAGCCCGGCTGGATATTGTGCTTTTAGACGTTGTATCCACTTATTTTCATGGGACTCTAAAATCTTTCTAATGTTATCTGCTCTGAACTTTTCTATTCTTTCAATTATAATGAATTTGGCATGGGTTTTGAAATCGTGTTTTTCCAGGCGGAAATGATGTTCTACAGGTAATAATTTTTCATGGGGAGTCGACTTAATTCGATTACGATAATTATTAATTCTGTAGTGAAAGGGCCATTCAGATTTTCCTACATATTGTTTCTGGCATAGTGTGCATTCTAGGAGGAAAATTATGTTATGACATCTACAGTTAGAATCGTGGTAGATTTTGAAAGTAGTTTTAGTGATTGAGCTAGTGAATGAATCCGTGTGTTTAATATGGTTCTAACATAAACTTATTTTGTTGTTACATGGTTTGGAAAATCCTGTTGTTTTTGTTCTCAGTTTATTACGGATTACCTGAAATGTGGTTACTACCTATGATTTCTTTTAGGTTCTTAGGTCTACGAAATGCAAGAAGGCCGGGTTCCTTCAACAATTTTTTAGGTGTGGTTTGAGATGTAGTATTTCCCATCGACGTTTGATTATTTGGGGTAGTGGAGGCAGAGTGGGGTTGAAAGTGGTTACTAGAGGAATGCGGCTAGATTTATTTAGTGGTAGGGCTCTCTTTTCCAAATGTTCTCTCTAGCTCAAGCTATTTTGACGTCCTTTTAACCACTCGAGCCTCAAGTTTCCATTCGGAAATACCATACCCCAAACCATGACTCCTCCTCCTCCCATCTGTCTCTTGTTGAGAATAACAGGTTCATCCTTTCTTGATCATGTACACCACCCGTCAGGTCCATCCAAATTAAAATGTTTTTCCTCAGTAAATATCACTTTCTTGAAGTCGACATGGTTTGTTATCCATCTTTTGGCGCTTCCCAGCCTTGCCTCCTTGTGTTTTCTCGTTAGTGTAATTCTTTTCTTGATTTTAGTATACTTAAGTCCAATTTCGTGTAGCTTCCTTTATACAGTTCGAACACTGACGTCAAGTTCACACTTCTTTACTTTATTCACTGTCACCTTTTCTCCAGATAATAACAACCTCGTAACACTCCTCTTCATTCTTTTTTCTGTTCTCTTGGAAATTGTTTTTTCCGTCCTCTCTTCTTCTTCTTCTTCCGCTCATAGTCTGTACTTAGCATGTATTCAACTGTTGACTTCAGTAGCTTCATCTCAGCGGCGGTCTTTTGGATGCTGAGCCCGACTTCTCTCTTCTTTTGGCCCAAACTGATGACTTCTTTTGAATGCATTCTTCTTCAGGATTTTAATACGTTTTCGCAGTGAATGGTAAAGATACTCAAATATAATGATCAGGGTACAATTTACCTGCAGAAAATGTGCACATTGTAGACGTTCGACGACTAAATCATTAAAAAACCCGGAATTTGTGTCATGTCCGAAAAATGGTGTCGCCTAAGTTGAAGTAAAAATAAAGAAAACATGAAACGAAAGACAAACCCATCAATCAATGTTCATACCATTAATGGACAGTTACTGCTGAACTACCTACTCATCAACACAAAGGCTCTCGGCAGCAAAAAACACCTTTAAGCACACTTTTCAAAGTGTCCCCAAAATAATGTCGGCATATATATATATATATATATATATATATATATATATATATATATATATATATATATATATATATGAAGAAAAAAATTTGGAAAAAAACAAACAAAATCCTTAAATACAATTATATTGTTTAAAATGAAAAATGTCGACGTCTGACGTTTTGTTTAATAAACCTTCTTCAGGACAATATTCATTAAAATACAATTCAGTTCAATTTGACAAAGACGATGGACATAAAAACAAGTCTTATCCAAAACAGATAACTGAAAAAGTTTTTATGTCCATCATCTTTGTCAAATTGAACTGAATTGTATTTTAATGAATATTGTCCTGAAGAAGGTTTATTAAACCGAAACGTCAAACGTCGACATTTCATTCATTTTAAACAACATAATTGCATTTAAGGATTTTTGTTTGTTTTTTCCAAATTTTTCTTCATTCTGTCGGATCTATATCCATTTATTTTTGCATATATATTATATATATATATATATATATATACAAAGAAATAATCACACATAGAATCAATTTGTATGTAAATTATATGCTGCCTAATGTTTTATATATATATATACAAAAATATATATATATATATATATATATATATATATATATATATATATATATATATATTCCTTCCTTAAAAATGCCATATCATGTTTAGAATATCGTGAATATATTTCAGATATAGATCTACAATCAGACGACAGGTTTACAAACAAAGGAGTGGTTAAATCCTGACGCTAGGTAATCTACACAGTTTTAGATGTGGTCTGTTGCCCTCATAAAATTTCTATTTTTTTGTCAGACGAAGCCATATTCACGATATAGTTAACAGTTCTAACTGTTCCAAACCCGTAGACTGAGCTATCTTGTCGTCAATAAAACTAGGGTTTCCCGAATCTACTACTGCGATGAGGGTTTTTTTTTTTTTTTTTTTTGTTCACAAAGCATTTTATCATGGTTTTCGATACTCCCTGTAGCCCATTTTTTACTTTGGCCACGACGCGTAATGCAGCATAAAACTTATTAGCTTTTGAACAACAGACATTACTGAAGCCTGACAGTTACTGACTCTTACTCTTACGGTTCCTAATGCTTCAGTAGACAAAACATCTTTCTTTTAAAAGGGATTTGCTAATAGCAGAAGACCGAGTGTTCTCTTCCTTTTGATTTTCCTCTTGCTGAGAATTTAAGTCGTTGGTCCGCGGTTCCGATGTCGACGCTTCTTGATAATTTGTTTGGTATCAACAGAATAGACTTCAACATTTAAGATAGACCATTCCACACGTCGCGGTTGGTCTCCAGCTTCTCATATGTTTTCAAGAAGTCTCTGTCGATTAGGAAGGAACGAATAACCCCAAAATAAAGGCATCTCTAATAATAAGTGTCTGTATGTTTTCCTTCTTCTGAAAATCTGATATATCCCTGGGGTTCTGATACAAACGATTCTTCATAACTTGTATAGGTATTAACTTCAAAATTTAGGATAGACCAGACCACACTCCCCGCTTGGTTTAGGGTGTGCGTTTTGTGTTCAAGAGTCCTCTGCTGAATAAAGGGTGCGGATAACGTAGAAAAAGGCTTTTTTTTATAAACTTGAGCGATAACATCTTTGAATTTACCGTCCTTTGCCAGAACGTTCAATGACTGAAGATGCTGATCCAGGGTTTCTCCGGCCTCTTGAATTTTGGTTGCAATTACATGCCTGGCGTATATCCTACCTTTATCTTAAAGGACAGCTTTCTTTAGAATGGTGATAGCTTCATCAAAGTTTGTACATACGCTGAACAGTTCGCATACATCAGACGACAAATAATGTATAGGAATATCCAACCCGTCAACGTCAATATGCTTGAGGCAGTTTAAAAGGATACATGGCCCAGTGACTAAAGGCGTTGGTTAGATCAAGTTATTAGAGCCAACGATTTGTGAATTCAATACCAGGCTACAGCAGTGGTGAACAATATACTTGGAGAGTTGAGTTAATGGGATATAACTGAGATATCCGGAAGAGGCATGGCACGTGGAACTAGGACAGCCTATCCCTGGTGGACGAAATAAAGGGTTCGAAATTCCATTCACCTGAAGAAGGCTGAAATGTTGTTAATATGGCATTGAAGGTGAGGATAACAGCCCGAATAATGTAAGTGAACAGGTCTTATATGTTTCTCTTTGACTCTAGACTTCTTTCAATCTAATTTTTGTTGTTTTCTGCTATGAACCAGCATTACGTGTGCTCTTGCTCTTTTATTTGTTAGAAAAGTATCATGTCAACCTTGAAGCTAATGTGAACAGGGCATCTTTCTATTTGTATATTAATTCAATGTGATTTTATTTGTATAAAAGATATTTTTACACATCAAAGCGATCAACAACGTCGTTAAATTAGCCAACTTACCTAATCACACAATACACTCACTATTCAAATTTACATTTCAGGGAACTAGACGTTCATGGAAACCTTTATAAAGCTTACCGGCTCCAAAATTAATTCAATCTGAGAAGATCGCATTTTAAACGCAGGATTGATAGCCTCTCAACGGAAAAAAATTTTTTACCGTTGGCTGGAACACATGTATAGCCACACAACAACAGACAGATAAATAGATTTCGTAAACTTTTCTTTGACATATTTCGAGAAAGCCATTTTCGGTGAAGTGAAAATTGAACTCTAGTGCAATAAATCTCAGGACCATGGCATCAGGTTATTTTACAAATCCAAGTCGGTGGGTTCTGTACACCAAACACCACCTACCCAAACCGCGAACTGACCGCAAAGGGGTACGAGGCAATTATCAATCGAAAGGAAATGGCTGAAGTCGAAAGGTCACAGCCAGCCTTTTCCAGCCACATATACTTTTATTTACTTACCTTCAAACACTTAGTTCATCATATGAGATATGTCGGTGCGCTGACCAGGGTGACCCTACATTTTTATTTTTCGCCAACCCTGACGCCATCCACACCTCAGTATTGTGAATTCATTTCAATAGTTCTCTTTTCTTATTTACTGTGCTGTTCTAATTTTTTTCTCCACTTTTTCTTTTATCCTGTCTTTCGGATGGCCGAATATGAGCCATTAGACCATTGGGTAGAGCATTACCTTTCTGGCCATGTAGTCAGGGTTTCGAAACTCAGCTTAATGATATCGTCCTGGGAGAAAAAATCCTGAAATTGTGGGAAGTGAAACTGTTTTAGATTGGTTTTGTTTATTTTATTTTACAGCATATCAACCTCAATGGGTTATTTAATGCCGACAACATTTTTAGGAGAGATTCGTATAAATAGAATATGTATTCTTTGGTTAGATTGGTTTTGTTTATTTCGTTTTACGGCATATCGACCACAATGGGTTATTTAATGCCGACAGCATTTTTAGGATAGATTCGTATGAATAGAATATGTATTCTTTGGTTTACATTGGTTTGGTTTATTTTGTTTTACGGCATATCAACCACAATGGGTTATTTAATGCTGACAATATTTTTAGGATAGGTTCTTATGAATAGAATATGTATTCTTTGGTTTAGATTGGTTTGGTTTATTATGTTTTACGGTATATCAACCTCAATGGGTTTTTTTAATGCCGACAACATTTTTTATTGCTGATAATATTTTGTTTTTCAAAATCTGTTTCGGGTAATATTTTTTCTTCAAAATTGTTCTGATGGTAAAATTCTTTTTCAAAAAAGAATTGCTGGTAATAGTTAACTATTTGCCCATAGTTGGGAACCTAACAAATGCTACCACCCTAGGTCATCAATTAACATGTGGTTCCACGCTCCTCGAAACCTCCTGATCAGAGGCCTTGCTACTGGATGTAGTTTATCGTCTTACCCAGGACGAGGAAGTGAATCTGGATAGACGAAACTAAGGGCGAGATATCAACTTGACATCAAATGTTTTATCACCCCCTAAAAGCATGGGCCACTGATGCGTGATTGTCGACTCGTAAAATATGACAAAGTCTGAGGTCACACAATCATTAGTTTTTAATATTTACCAAAAGCTGGCATGAGGCCATTATCTCTGTGCGCTAATCCTGATCGTATTTCTAGTTGAAGCAACTGTTGATGAGAGCGCAGTTAGGTGGTGGGGAATACATACTAATATAAGAATGCAACACACACGCATACCCAAAATAACCCACACGTCCTGTGTATGACGATAAACTACATCCGTGTCCTTGGTAAAACGATAAACTACGTCCAGCAGCAAGGCCTCTGATCAGGAAGTTTTTGAGGAGCATGGAACCACCTCTTAATTACCCGTGCTCCCAGGCCCAACCGGGGTGGTAGCACCTGTTAGGGTCCCAACTATGGGCAAATAGTTAACCCCTAAACTGGGTTAAAAACACTATGAAAGTGTAAAAATAGGTTTTAATACCAGAAATACTTTGTAAAAAAATTACCAGCAATAAATGTTTGAAGAAAAGTAAATTATTACAAGCAATACATTTTTGAAAAAAATATTACCAACAATGTTTTTAAAAAAATAAATATTACTAGATATACATTTTTGAAAAAAAATATTACCAGCTATACATTTTAAAAAAAAAAAAATATTACCAGAAATAGATTTTTGACAAAACAAAATATTACCAGCAATAAATATTTTGTC